AAATTCTGAGAAATATATAAACTTCCCAAACTAGATCAGGAAGAAAAATTTGAACAGACTAATCACCAGCATGGTAGATTGAGTCAGTAATAAAAACAAACAAGCCCACAACAAACAAAAGTTTAGGACAAGATGGCTTCACAGGTGAATTCTAGCAAACATTTAAATAAGTGTTAATACCTATTTTCTCAAACTATTCCAAAAAATAGAAGAGGAAGGAATCTATGAGGCCAGCTGTACCCTGATACCAAAACCAGATAAAGACACTACAAAACAAGAGAACTACAGGCCAATATCTCTGATGAACATAGATGCAAAAGTCCTCAAGAAAATATTAGCAAACCAAATCCAACGACACATTAAAAATTCATCATGATCCGGGCTCTGGGCTGATGGCTCAGAGCCTGGAGCCTGTTTCCGATTCTGTGTCTCCCTCTCTCTCTGCCCCTCGCCCGTTCATGCTCTGTCTCTGTCCCAAAAATAAAATAACGGTGAAAAAAAAAATTTAAAAAAAAAAAAAAAAAGGGGGGCGCCTGGGTGGCACAGTCGGTTAAGCGTCCGACTTCAGCCAGGTCACGATCTTGTGGTCCGTGAGTTCGAGCCCCGTGTCGGGCTCTGGGCTGATGGCTCAGAGCCTGGAGCCTGTTTCCGATTCTGTGTCTCCCTCTCTCTCTGCCCCTCGCCCGTTCATGCTCTGTCTCTCTCTGTCCCAAAAATAAAATAAACGTTGAAAAAAAAAATTAAAAAAAAAAATTCATCATGATCAAGTAGGATTTCTTTTTGGTGGTGGTTTGGTATTTGCAAATCAATTAATGTGATACATCCCATCAACAAGAAAAAGTATAAAAGCCATATGATAATTTCAATAGATGCAGAAAAAGCATTTGATGAAGTAGGGCATTCATTCATGATAAAAACCCTCAACAAAGTAGGTTGGGTGGAAACATACCTCAACATAGTAAAGGCCATGTATGAAAAATCCACAGCTGACATACTTAGTGGTATAAAACTGAGAGCTTTCCCATAAATTCAGGAATAAGACAAGGATGTCCACTTTCACCAGTTTTATTCAACATAGTACTAGAAGTCCTAGCCACAAGCAGTCAGACAATAAAAGAAAAGGCATCCAAATTAGTAAGAAGAAGAAAAACTTTCTTTTGCAGGTGACATGATAATATATAAAGAAAAGCCTGAAGACTCCACCAAAAACCTATACATCTGATAAATGAATTTGGTAAGGTTGCAGGATACAAACCCAATATATTATTTTATATTTATTAAAAATGAAGTAGCAGAAAGAAAAATTAAGAAAATCCCATTTACAATTGCACCAAAAAGAATTAAAAATCTAGCAATAAACTTAACTAAGGAGGTGAAATACCTATACCCTAAACACCTTAAAACATTGATGAAAGAAATTGAAGAAGACACAAAGAAATGGAAAGACATCCCATGTTCATAGGTTGAGAGAACAAATATTGTTAAAATGTCCACACTACACAAAACAATCTACATATTTGATGCAATCCCTATCAAAATACCAATCGCATTTTTCACATAAGTAGAACAAGTAATCCTGAAATTTGTATGGAACCACAAAAGACCCTGAATGGCCAAGGCAGTCTTGAAAAAGAATAAAACTGGAGGTATCACAATCCCGGATTTCAGGATACCCAAAACTGTCAGTTACTGGCACAAAAAAAACAGACCCATAGATCAATGGAGCAGAATCAAGAGCCCAGAAGTAAACCCATGATTATATGGTTAACTAATTTTTTATAAAGGAGGCAAGAAAAAGTCTCTTCAACAAATGGTGCTGGGAAAACTGGATGGCTACATGCAAAAGAATGAAACTAGATCACTTTCTTACACCATATAGAAAAATACACTCAAAATGGATTAAGGACCCAAATGTGAGACCTAAACCCATAAAAATTCTAGAAGAGAGCACAGGGAGCAATTTCTCTGACATCATCCAAAGCAACATTTTTCTAAATATGTCTTCTGAGGCAAAGAAAATAAAAGCAAAAATAAACTACTGGGACTACATCAAAAAAAAAAAAAAAATCTGCACCATAAAGGAAATATTCAACAAAACTAAAAGCCAACCAACTGAATGGGAGAAGATATTTGCAAATAACATATCTGATAAAGGTTTAGTATCCAAAATATCTAAAGAACTTTTACAACTCAACACCAAAAAACAATCCAATTTTAAAATGGCAGAAGACATGAACAGACATTTCTCCAAAGAAGATACACAGTTGGTCAATTGACACATGAAGATGCTCACATCACTAATCATCTTGGAAATGCAATTAAAACCATGGTGAAATATCCCCTCATACCAGTCAGAATGGCTAAAAAACAAACAAAAACAAAAAACAAGAAACAAGTGTTTGCAAGGATGTGGAGAAAAATGAACCCTCTTGTACTGTTGATGGGAATGCAAATTGGTATAGCCACTGTAGAGGACAGTATGGAGGTTCCTCAAAAAAATAAAAAAAAAATTACCATATGATCCAGTAATTCCACTACTGAGAATTTACCCAAAGGATATGAAAGCACTCATTTGAAAAGATATATGCACCCCTATGTTTATTGCAGCCTTATTTACAATAACCAAATTATGGAAGCAGCCCAAGTGTCCATCGATAGATGAATAAAGAAGATATGGTGTATACCCACAATGGAATATTACCCAGCCATAAAAAAGAATGAAATTTTGCAACAACATGGATGGTCTAAAGGGGATAATGCTAAGTGATATATGTCAGCCAGAGAAAGACCAACACCATATGTTACATTAGAACAGAACAAATGAACAAAGGAAAAAAGAAGTAAATGGATTTCTAAATATAGATAACTGATGGTTACCAGTTGGGAGGTTAGTGAGCAAATGGGTGAAATAGGTGAAGGGGATTGAGAGTACATGACGTGATGAGCACTGAGTAATGTATAGGATTGTTGAATTACTATATTGTACACCTGAAACTAATGTAATACTATATTAATTATGGTGGAATTTTTTAAAAAAGGTAAAATGATCTTTGTAAGCCTCAAATATTTACAGTCAAAAAAATGAAAAAAAAGAAGTGAAATAACACCTCCAAATGTTTCTGTGTTGTGTAGGAAAATTCTGTACAGGTTTTGGTATAACATTTCATATCACCTAATGGGGATAAAGGAATGGTGGAGTGCTAATGCATTTGAAGAGAACAAGAAAATATCTTATTTTCCCATTACATAATTGTACTATAATTTTTAAACCAGGACCCTCTGTGATAAACATTTAGTTTGTTTCACTGTGTTTTCCTATACGAGCAGTGCTATAATCAACATATTTTACATAAATCCTGGTCATGCTTCTGACAGTAAATTCCTAGCAGTACAGCACTGGAAATAGGATATGTGCATTTTAATTTTGCTAGATACTACCAAATTGCCCCCACAAAAAGATTGTTCTAATTCATATTCCTGTCAACCGTGTAGAATAGTGATGATAACAATATTTCATTTTCAGATAAAGTAATATTTCTGTGTCACCTGATAGAAGGGATCATGTGTTTTCTAGATCTTTAAGAAAATATGCAACTCCTTTTTATTTTTCCTAGGTCCAAAGGTCAGCCTGCTTCAAGTCAATTCTACCTGAGGGAATTGAAAGAGGCAGGGAAATAGTGTGTTTAATAGTTACTAGTTTGTGACTCTCCCCTAGCTTCTCCAGGCTCTGAGGGAAAGAAGCTTAATTATTTAAGTGACTTATCTCAGTTTCTTACACCTACAGTAGCTGTAGGTGTATTCTCATTTTTCAATTATAGAAATTAGTGCTTAGAGACATTATATGACTTACAGATTTGAACAATGGTCTGTGTGACTCCAAAGTACCCATTCTTTCAACCATAGTACTGTGAAGGGTAAGTTGCTATGTGATTTATCCTATGTAAACTCACTGATACCTGCATAGCACAGAATCCACAGTACTTCTTACTGTCCTTCACTAGCTGTAGGATTTGGGATAAATTACCTAATCTCTCTGTGTCTCAGCTTCCTCATCTGTAAATGGGGATATTAATAATACTCTCTTTTAGGGTTGTGCGGTGGTTTAAATCAATATATGCCAACTGTTTAAAACAATGCCTGGCATCTAAGGGAAATGGGATGCTTAATGTACTAATTCTTAATAATAAATATTCTTAAGATATGGAGCTGGGACCGCCTTATATAGCCACGGGCTTAGAAACTCATCGTCACTCAACAGGTATCCCCCATATTAGGAACAAAAGTTCAGAGAGAAGTATGAGACAAGTGCTCTACCTCTAAGTCATTTACAATCTAGTTAAAAGACAAAATGGAACTCACATCAAGTGCTTCAGTGCTGCATGATTTGTATAAACTCAACGTGGCTGGCAGTCAGAGGAGACTTCTGGAGGAGCTGGGACCTGAGTTGGGCTTTGAAGAAAGGGTTGGATTTGGAGCACAGATATTCCAGATAAGCGAAGCTGAGGAGGAAGGGAATAGAGGCAAGCCTGGTGGGGAGGGATATGGTGAGACTGAACTGGAGGGTGGGTACAGAGGGGCAGCAATAATAAACTTTGGATCTTGGAGCATCTGGGTAGCTCAGTCGGTTAAGCGTCTGACTCTTGATTTCGGCCCATGTCATGATCTTGCCATTTGCGAGATCAAGCCCTGCGTCAGGCTCCATGTGCTGTCAGTGCAGAGCCTGCATGGGATTCTCTCATTCTCTCTCTGCCCTTCCTCCACTCATGCTGTGTTCTCTCTCTCTCAAAATAAATAAACTTTAAATAAATAAACTTTGGGTCAGGTTACCTATAGAAGGTATACTTCTAAAACAGCAGTTAATTTTCACTTAATCCAATCAGCCTTAAGTAAGGGAATATGTGGTTTACAAAATTGTCATTTCTGTCACTGCCTTCTTGAAAGTCTCTGGGAATGATTTTGTTCAGATTTTCTGAGTAAAAATTTTTGTCACTTTGGTACAGTGAGGAACGCACAGCAGAAGCATATCCTTGCAGCCCATCAGATCATCCACAGACACACAGAAGCCATGCTCAAAAAGAATTTTGTTGAGCAACAGCAAGACGAGGTCTCAGACACTGACCAGTTACTAGAGGAAGAAACTCAAAATGAGAAAAACAACTAAGGTGAGTTTGATTTTTCATCTGAAAGGAAGCAGAGAGGAGGAGAGGCAGCATCATTCAGCTTTCTGCTATACTCTAAAAACTGTAATGTGGAAAGATTGTCCTCTGTTTAAGAAAGTGAAACACTCCCATTTTAATTGGCCCATTCCATCTAGGTTATGGAATCTGCTATTGAAATTATTAGAGAATAGAGTTGATATTATTGCAACTGGACTCTTGTGACCAGAAAAGAGGATTCTGTTTTATTTTTTGAGTCCTCATAGTATATGATGGTATTCCATCATAAATAAGCTGTAAAATGTGTCTGTGTAAAAAAACAAACACACACACACAAAAAAAAAACCCTTATGGAGTAGACAAACTACCTATCCTATCATGCTAGTTGTAAGCATAGCATTAGGCAGAGCCTGCCCAATTCTAGCCCACCAGGAGTTGGTCTAGGCTCAACTAAGCATTCCTAGTCACAAGGCAATCGTTTGATACGATTTGAGTATCTATCTATCCAGAAAGATGCAAGACAGGAACCACAGCTTCAAGCAGGGCAGCATCCGGTATTTCTCTTCCTATGGAAGCTCTTGCCAAATCCACATAGAAGAACACTAGCTATTTTCTTTAGTCCCCTGCTTACAAAGCTCAGGTGCAAGGAAAAGAAATTCACATTGGGTAGGTGCAGGACCTGCCTGGTTTACGTGCCTCAGGGGCCAGTATATCTTGTAACGATTCCATAGGCATAGTTTCTAGGGTCCACCTGATGGATTCATCTAGTCAAAGAAGTCAGCACACAAACCTGTGGTTTCCTATTAGGTATTAATAGTTCATTTATAATTCCTTCCAGTTAGATGCTAGTTACCAATCAGGGGTCAAGCAGTGTTACTTAGTAACATATTTGAGACAAACTGTCTTACCGAATTACTAGGAGAAGTGTTAGAGAGTCAGTTGAAAGTAAAATTCTCATGAGAATTTTTATAAGAAAGGAAGTGAACCCTTTGCCTATACCTTCTTCAACCCTCCTCTGATGGAAGCATGTCATCTGCTACTTTGGCCTGAGGGCATGCTGTCAGGATAGGGAAGGCACAAGGCTTAGGGGCACATTTGAGCCTGGCGTCCAGAAGGTTTGAGTGTTGGCCAGCTCTGCCACTAACATAATCTTATATAATAATTCCCTTCACTACAGGTTTGCCTGCACTTACGTGACCAACAGACCATCTGCAGGGGAATCTATTGGGACCTGAAGTTTCAACCAATGAGGATCATGGAAGGAATGTTGAGATGAGGGGGCAGTTAAGAATGAAAGCAGACAGAAAGCAGATAAAGGACTCTTAAATACCTAGCTATGGCTGTAAATTATAGCAGAAAACCTTTTGTTTTTAATTAATAATGAAATAACCTCTGAAATCACTGAAGATATAAACCATGTATTTACATGGAATGTTATCCATACATCTATATAATATAAATTCAAGGACCATAGCATTTTGCCTATCTTATTATTGTGATACAATTACCCTTAATGTTTGGATAGTCATTTTTCTTACATGTAAATTAAATATTATTAATAATTTACATAATTTAAATTAAATATGTGTGCATTTACTTCTGAGTATAAAGGATCTCTTTACTGCTTTATTACATGTTTAGAACAAAGGGGCATGTGGTGGCTCAGTCGGTTAAGTATTGGACTCTTGATTTCGGCTCAGGTCATGATCTCGCAGTTCGTGATTTCAAGCCCTGCATTAGGCTCGGCACTGACGGTGAGGAGCCCACTTGGGATTCTCTATCTGCCCCTCCTCTATTTGTGCTCAGTCTCTCTTTCTCTCTTTCCCTCCCCCCCCTCTCAAAAACAAACTTAAAACAATGTTTGGAACATGATGTTTAGTTGCCCCCATAGTATGTATTACTCTCTCTCCCTTCTCTGTCAGAAGGAGGGAAGGACAGATGTGAGATTATTTAATAATGCTTAAGGATGTAGGCGTGGACTGTTGAGTTAAAAATATTTTTAATTAGCTTGAAAACAATGGAGACCTAATAGTGAGGAATTGCTGGGCAAATATCTAGGAGCAAAATTCAGAGAGTTGGTTCTGGCATTTAGAGCCACTTTTTTTTTCTCCCCTGAGGGAATGTGCAAATTCTAGAAAATTTGGCTGAAAAGCTGAGTGAATCTTTCCCCAGCTTTGTAAAACTAAGGGGACAAAAACTGGAGTCATACTGGAGGCCCTGGTAAGCCTCTTCCATTTAGGTTGGACTCTAAAAGGCTGTGTGCCAGTAGTAAGGATTAATTGGAAATAACTGTCCCTCACAAAGACTACAGTTTAGCTTCCAGTCATCTGAATGCTCCAAAAAAATCTCAGTTGCAGAAATTGAATTAAAGAGATCATTGATTCCTGTTGCTTCAGAAAACTTGTCAGAAACAAAACTTAAATTCTCTTTGTAGAAAGATGACATCATCCTAGACCTCTTTTCAAAAACAGGTTTTTATATACAATTTCCAGAGTATGATCAAGGATATCCAGGTACATGAGAACAAGCAGTAGCAGAAATTACAGGTAATAGAAACAAACCTAAAGGGATCTAAACTATTGGAATTATTAGATTTAAAAATAACTGTGCTTACTACAATGGACTTCTAGCCTCCAGAATTGTGAGAAAATAAATTTCTATTGTTTTAGCCACCCAGTCTATGTTGTTATGGCAACCTGATCTAAGACAGATTTTGGTGCCAGGAGTGGAAAGCTGCTGTAACAAATAGTTCAACAATGTGGAAGCAGCTTTGAAACTAGAGAATGGCCAGAGGCAGGAGAGTTGTGCAGTATATACTAGAAATATGGATATTAAGGGCAATTCTGGTAAGGTGTCAGACAGAAATAGGGAACGTGTTACTGGAAACTAGATGGAACACAATCATTTATAAAGTGGCAAAGAACTTGGCTGAACTTTGTTGTAGTGTTTTGTGGGAGGTAGAACTTGTGAGCTATGAAATTGGATAGTTAGCTAAGAAGACTTCTAAACAAAGTATTGAAGGAGTGACTTGGTTACTCCTGACCGCTGATATAGTAAAATATTGAAGGGAGATGAAATGAAGAAGGAATTATTAAACAAAAAGGAATAAGAACTTGAAGGTTTGGAGAATTCTCAGTCTATCCATATTTCAAAGAAATGAGAAAGTGTATTCTGAAAAGAACATTAAGGGTGTGGTTGAACAGCTATTTGATAAAGAGCTTATAGGATTATAAGAGTAGGAATACTGCCAGTTTGAACTGAAGGAGATGGAGGCAGGATGAATGAAGGAAGGCTGTCAGACCTCTTGGCTTTGACAGGATGAACCGATAGAGCTACTATGAGGCAAAAGTACACAATTCTTCAAACAGTTTCAACAGGTCAGATGGCCTTGATGTAGAACCTTAAGAGTGGGACCACCGTGGGACCTGATCCAGGCAGAGGTACAATGATAGGACCCTCACCAAGAGCCAGGACAATGGGACACAGCAGAACCAAAGCATTGGGCCATCCTCCTGATCCATGGGAGTAATGCTACCATCCCCACAGACCTAGAAGGCAGGACATTGAGGCAGAGAGGATTAATTTCAAGCTTAAGAATCTGATAGGATTTGTCTAGCTAGGCTTTGGACTTATTTGGGACCCATTACTTCTTTCTTCTTTCTGATTTCTCCCTTTGGAATGAGAATATCTATTCTATATTTGTTCTGCCATTATATTTTAGAGGTACATGACTTATTCACAGCTGGAGAGGATTTTGCCTCAGGATGAATCATACCTTGACTCTCACCCATACCCGATTTGTGATTTAGAGGATATTTAGATGAGATTTAGTTGATGCTCTAATGAGTTAAGACTTTGGGGGCTATTGGGATGGAATGAATGTATTTTGCATGTGAGAAGGACATGAATTGGGGGAGGGGAGGGCTGGGGTGGAGTGCTATGGACTTGTGTCCCTCCCAAATTCAGATGTTGAGGCTCTAACCTCCAATATGATGACATGTGTAGATAAGGACTGTGGGAGATAATTATGATTAGATGAGATCATGAGGGTGAGTCCCCCATGATGGGAATGATGCCCTAATAAGAAGAGACACCAGAGAGCTTGTTTTTTCTGTTTTTTGTTTTTTTCTTTTTTTCCGTGCCATATGAGGACATGGCAAGAAGGCAGTGATCTACAAACCAAGAAGAAACTTGGCCCCAGAAACCGACCATGCTGACATCTTCATCTTGGACTCCTAGCCTGCAGAACTGTGAAAAAAATAAATTTCTGTTGTTTAAGCTACCCATTCTATGGTATTTTGTTATGGCAGCCTGAACTAAGACATTATGTGTAAAGAGATAAAAATCAATATTGAAATTTTCAAGAGAACTGTAAATGATAAAAATGATAAAGCAGATTTGCAGAAAATAATTCTAGAATCTAAAAATACTGTAGTCAGCATGAGAAATTCAATGCATGGAATTAAGAGCAGGATAAATACAGCTAAAGTGAAAACCAGTAAATTAGAAAATAGATGAGAAGAACTTACTTAAGAAAGAATACAGGAACAAAGAGATGGAAACCACAGAAGAGATGCAAGGATTGATGTAGGATAACTTAATCCTTAGGAAGAGACAAAAAGATAGTAGACATACATCGACCACTGATTTTAGATATTTGACTGCTAAGAAGAAATATGTTGGGAAATCTTATGAAATATGAATTTTCTTTTTTTTTTTTTAAGTGTTTATTTTTGATAGTGAGAAGAGGAGGTGCAGAGAGAGACAGGGACAGGATCTGAAGCAGGCTCCACAGTGACAGCAGAGAGCCTGATGCAGGGTTTGAACTCACAAACCATGAGATTATGACCTGAGTTGAAGTCAGATGCTTAACCAGCTTAGCCACGCAGGTGGCCCTGAAATGTGAATTTTCTAAAACCAGTGAAAGACTCAATATTTAGGAACCCTTCTTAACCCCAAACAGAAAAAAATTAAAAATCTATACCTAGATATATTTTAATTTGATTGCTGAAAACAAAAGAAAAAATATCTTAAAAGTTTTTAGAAGAAAAGTTGAATTACCTTCAGAAGAACAATAATTAAGCTGATAGTTGACTTTTCATCAGAAGCAAAACTAGAAAATAATGGAATGATATTGTCAAAATGCTGAAATAGTGTAATAAAATAGGATTCTATACCTTGCAAATATATCCTTTGAGAATGACAATGAAAGATATTTTCAGATAAATGAAACAAAATTTGTCACTAGAAGAAATTGCCACAGGAAAAACACAAGGGTGTTTTTCAAACAGAAGAAAATTTATCCCATTTGGAAAGTTGGAGGTAAATGAAGAACATGTAGATAAATATTTATTGACTGTATAAAACAATAAAAAATAGCAATACAGTTATACAACATAAGTAGTATATAAGTCAGAAATCCATAAATGGATTAAACTGTCCTAGGACACTTGCATTATCTAGGAGGAAGATAAAAGTGTTACTTAATATTATCTTTGATAACTCAAGGAAACATTCTGTAACCTCTAAGGTGAATCCTAAAGGATAGTAAAAAGATGTAGGACATTGAAACTAATAGGAGAAAATTGAATTAACCACCCCCCACCACCACCACCACTCAATACAAAAGGAAGATAGGAGAGAGAAAGGAAACAAAACCAGTAGAAAGCACCAAATAAAATGGTAGGTATTTATCACTGATTCATCACGAATTTATATTAAATGTAAATAAATGCTCAAAGTCAGAATATTTCAGACTGAATAAAAAGGCTGTTTGTAAGAGGCATATATAAAAATACAGAATCCTTACAAGGAGAGAAAAAAATACCATGAAAACATCAGCCACAGGAAAGGTGATACAACTATATTAATATCAGGCAAAGAAGACTTTAAGGCATAAAGCTCTGTTAGATAAAATGAGGGTCACTTCATAAAGGTAAAGGTTTTAATTCATTGGGAGAGTATGAGTCACAAATATGAATGTATCTAATAACATGGCCTCAACCTATGTAAAGAAATGTTAATAGAACTGCAAGGAGAAACAGACAAATCCAAAGTAATGCTAGGAAACTTTAATCTCTCTTGGGAACTGATGGAGCAAATAAAGGGGAAAAAAGTAAAAAACGGAAGATTTGAAATACATAATTAAGAAATTTGACCTAACGCACATTTATAGAATATTACATCTAACAACTACAGAATGCATATTATTTTCAAGAACACACACAACATTTACAAAAACTGTATACTGTCATAAACCAAGTGTCAACCCTTTCAAAGAGTCGAAATCATACAAAGTGTATTCTTTGATAAAAATGCAATGACAAGATAATTCTAATGTTTGAAAATTACAGATATAAATCTGTTCAAAGAAAGTGTCATAACAACTAGAAAATATTTTGAAAAATGACAAAAATGTACGTATCAAACTTCTGGAACACAGTTAATGTGGTGCTTACATAGAAATTTGTAGTCTTAAAGGCATTTATCTGAAAAGATGAAAATAAAGATTAAGCATTCTTTTCAAGAAATTAGAAAAATAACAGCAAAGTAGATACAAAAAAGCAAAAAGAAAGAAAGAATACACTAAAATAACA